GAGTGGAGAAAGTTCTAACAAGTGAACATATGAGAGAAGTTTTGGGAGTGTTTTAGAGCCTTCACTTGCAGTGTTGGCTTGAGGTAGACCTCTTTTATAAATAGGAGATCCATTTGCTCCAAGGGCACCAAGGCCAAGAAGAGGATGGTTAGAGGGAACGACTAAGGGTGAGAGTGAGTGCATATGTACTTCAAGCTCTTGTAACACTTCCTTGCAATCTAATAAACTCTCTTCTTCTCCCAAGCTCATATCTTCGTCTTTTACGTGTCGCAACCTTCTTAGTCCAGTGGGTGGATTGCGCCTAGCATTGGGGAAGATTGACTTGGTTCAAGTTAAGGGTTAATTTTGAGCTAAATGTCGTAAAGTGACTTTGTAAAGTCTCGTCCCATGACAAATGACATGATATGCTAGAACATTTTATTTATACAAGAATCGTCAAATGTCACAGCTTGCATCCAATTCTTCAACATCTTTTAGTTCAAGACTGTAGCGATAGGTGGATTTCTCGAGGACCTAAGTGGAAGGCATCAGATAGGTGTTGACACTTAGGTGTGATTTGGAGCTGCCAGAACAGCTAGGGTAATGAGAATGAAGACCAGACATTGGTCTAGGTGGGCTTGTTAGGCCAAGCTCGTGCGTAAAGTTGTTATAGCCTTGTATATAGTTCTAAAGTGAATTGTTCTAGAATTATCTAGGTTGGGCTGCATAGAGGTCAAGAAGAGGATGGTTAAAGTGAGCTATTAAGGGTGAGAGTGAGTGCATAGAGAGGCTATGTACTTCAAGCTTTTGTAACACTTCCTTGTGATCTAATAAACTTTCTTCTTCTCCCAAGCTCATACCTTCATCTTTCATGTGTTGTAACCCTCTTAGTCTAATGGGTAGGCTACGCCTAGCATTGGGAAAGACTGACTTGGTTTAGGTTAAGGGTTAATTTTGACTTAAGTGTCGCACAGTGACTTGCTAAAGTCTTGTCCCATGACAAATGGCATGATATACTAGAATATTTTATTTATACTAGAATCGTTCAAATGTCACAACTTCCATCTAATAACATCTTTTAGTTTAGTATTGTCGAGATAGGTGGATTTCAAGGGGGACTTGAGTGGAAAGCCTTAGGTAGGTGTCGACACATAGGCACCATTTGGAGCACCCCAGAATTCTTTAGAAGCGCTAGGGCAGCGGGAATGAAGACTAGACACTAGTCTGCGTGGGCTTGTTGGGCCAAGCTTGTGTGTAGAGTTTACTATAACCTTGTATATAATTCTAGAGTGACTTGTTCTAGAGTTATTAAGGCTAGGCTACAAGGGAGGAGTAAAGAAGGTTCTAATAAGTGTATGTTGGAACAAATTACTTTAGATATTGGTTAACCCACGACAAGATTAAGAAACTAATGGAATAAAAAAAA